GTTCAGTAGTGGCTGGCGGGGTGCTGTAGGCATGACTGTGTTGCTGACTTGGCTTCTCAACACCACATGTGGCTGCCAGTTGCTGAGATAAGGAGGGGCCAGGCACCGTGGAGCTTAGCAGAATCAATCTTAAGCTCCCACTATTACGTTCACACTGTGCTGAGCTCCCCACTGCCTTGGTCCTTTTCCTCCTAGTGATGGGCAGCAATGTGTGGCATTGGGAACCCATATCAGCAACACAGCCCTGTCAGCCACTGCTGGGTAGGTTTCACCTTTCCATATGTGTTGACATGATACATTTACTCTGAAAACGGTAGTAAGAAGCCAGAGAAACAATACATGCTTATGCTTTAAGGTGAATTTATTATGGTCTTATTCTAGAATACAAAACATTGAATTCTTACTTAATTCTACACAATGCGCAGTGCCACCTAGTGACTCTGCTAAACATTTTATGCCATGGAATAGCTTATAGCTGTCCCTTACTGAACCTAGTAATGGGAATTACTGTATTTCTTATGGGTTGAATTCAGAGAACTGCAAGTGGAACTCTATTCATATAGCAGGACTTTATTGGAACCTCCTCTGCACTGCAACCTTCTTCAGCTCCCCAAAGCCACTCTTGGGGGCTGTGGAGCTTTCCAGGATGGTGTGGGAAGAGGCATTGGGGATGTACACAATGGAGAAATCACCAGAATTTGGGGGGCTGCCTCGGGCAAGTGAAAGTGTCTTTCCGCTAATTCAAAACACCCTTAGACTCAAGCCAGAGTTACTTACTTTTCATGCATTTTTTTGTTGGGGAGAGATTAGATGAGGCAAATCATTATTTGTTTAAGAACATAAGAAGATTCCTACTGGATCAGGCCAACCTGGTATCCTTCAGTTGCTTTGGGATTCCAACTCCATCAGCCAATGATCAGGGATGATGGGATTTTCGCCTGGAAGGTTGGGTAGGTTAAACTATAGTTGGGCATAAAATTGACACATAATAGTTAGGCCATTGCTGCACTTCTGAAGTCTAAATCTGAAGCATACAAGTACACTTGCTGGTGGTTTCCTGATCATGCCATTGTCAGTGCGCCAACCTACTCACAGCCGCACTCCTTGCTGACAGCCCAGCTCTTGCTGATGGTTTCTTTTATAGCAGAGCTTTCAGAGTAACTCACAATAGCCACATTAATATGTAATACTAAATTATGGTTTGTGCATGGTTTTTGTTAATAAACCATGTTTAAAGCTCAAGGTGACCCACAGACAAACAGCCCTTAGCTTGTTACATCAAAGGTTGGTTTTTCTCTTCCCTGCCTATTCTGCACTTCCCACTTGATATGCCATATGCCTTGGCATTATCCTAGTACTGGCATTGCCTCATTGTGCTGTCATCCCCATGTGTTGTTGCAAATGGGCAGGGAAATCCCCTTGGAACTCTTTAGCTGCTCTTGGCAATGGCTGCAGTCCACCAGAATCCCTCCTCTCTCCCCCCCACCACTTGAAGAAACATCATATACATTCTCTTTAGCCAAGAAGCTCATTTCCTTCTTCCTTGCATCACACTGGGGTTGAAGTTTCTCCCAGCACAAGATCCAAAGCAGCATTATTCAGTACCATTCCCCACATCCCTCAGTGAAGCAGTGCTTTTCTATGCAAGATTCAGCCCTGCATTTCCCCAAAGTCTTTCCACCTCTCTTTTTATGGGTGAAGGGAATTGCTGGGCCCAAGTAGCAGTTCGTGGTAAGAAAGGAATAGGATAGAAGCATATGTGAGTAATAGTGCACTTACCCCCTAAGTATCTTAGTACAGAGGATGATAATCCTCTTCAAAAACAAACAAACACGGAGCAGAGTCCCATTTCTACCATGTTCTCTTACCTGACAGACTGTTTGGGGCGTGGGAGAAGTTCCTTTACAACTCAACCTGGTTTTATTATAAAAGCAATGGCTGGGATTCTGAATTTGCTCCCATTGGCAAGAGTATTCCTTAAGCAGAATTCCATTTACATGATAACCTCCATAGCAATTTTCCATCCATGCTTATTTTCATTTGGAGCGTTGTATCATTTAGCAAAATCAGTTGAGTTGGAAAAGTTTCATAAGGACAAAATAGTGAATTAACCTTCCCCTGCCCCCAAATAACAATGCCGTATTTCAGCATTTCAAAAAATGTAAATGAATGTAAACTACTGATTTCAGGATTGTTCTAGTACCGTATAACATTGTGATTACTATGGAAAGAGTCAAACATTTAAAATGCAGTTTTCTTTTTTTGTACTTCCTCCCATTAGAGCCTCTGTGTGTTCACGCCACCAGGAGTGAAGGATGGACAACCACATCTTGTTCCTGTGGGACCCATTATGCTTGGCACCACAGTATCTGCATATGTAGCCAAATCTAGAAAAACGTTATTAGTAGAAGATATTTTGGGGGTAAATTACTGTCTTTTTAAAAAATAATGTCAGGCTGCAAATGTTTTCATACCTATGTGGGAGTGAGTTCTGTTCAGGCAAAGTGGATTGATTTAAATCATCAGTTCAATCAAGAAAAAAGAGGTTTCAAACAAGTTTCCCGGTAATTCTTCTTCATGTATTTCCTAAACAATGGTGCAATTTCTTTCCTGAAGTGGACCTAACCTCAGACCCTGAGCTGAATCAGGCAGTCCCCAAAATGCAGGCTGTTTCAGAAAGAACAAAATCTATCCAGTTATAAATCAACATGGCCTAGCATTGATAGTGTGTTTATACACCCCTTTGCCAATGTTGAACAGAATCTGTAATACACCTGAAGGCTAGGCTGCGAGTTTGTCCTCAAGATTTCAACAGAGATATCCCAGATTTATAGACAAAACTGACATAACTTTAGTGATAAGGGAAAAAACCACACCATTAAGTTTAAAACTGTGCTTGCCTTCCCAGGATGAGCGGTTTCCCAAAGGTACTGGACTGGAATCAGGAACTCGCATCAAGTCTGTGCTTTGTTTGCCAATAGTTACTACACTTGGTGACTTGATTGGTATCTTGGAGCTTTATCGACACTGGGGCAATGACACCTTCCTCCTCAGCCATCAGGAGGTAAAGCCTAAATGTGATAGTGGGTATTTGAATGTTGCTATGGGGAAGGGATGAAGCCACTTTCATAACTGTGGATCAGATTTTACATTATTAATATCCACTGGGCCAAATCATTGATCTGGTTGACTTATCACATCAAGTTGAAAATAAACTATGGTTGAAAGTAAACTGTGGTTGAATGTGAATGAGCAGCATGCTTGCACATGCTGGTTGAAAGTTACAATTCTATGATTCTGTGTAATGTGCAGCCAATTATGTTACTGCCAGCTGTCGCCAGTGGAGGACTCAGAAACGGGGCATTGCAGGAGCAGAGTGGCTGGTCACTAATACAGTTCAGGAAATAAGGATTTTCTTTTGTTTCAGGTTGCAACAGCGAATCTTGCATGGGCTTCTGTAGCAATACATCAAGTAGAGGTAAGACCGTGGAAAAAGTTTTTGTTTTTTTAGGAAAGCAGTAAACAGATTCTAGGAATATAAAACATGATCAATCAGCTTTTTAATATCTGATTGATGTAAACTCTTTGACAACGTAATCAAGTTATATTTCATTATCTGTATTTCAAAAGGGTGTACAGATAACTTGCAACTTATGTGCATTTAATTTATGTACATTCAGCTTTACGCGCTTGGCAAATTAGGGGGCAGGTATCCAGGAAAAGGGTTTCAGCAATTCCATCTGCCGTTGAGACCAATTTGTTTTGACTACATGCAATTTTGGCTTTAGGTGCTATCCCTGGAATGTAACCCCAGAATAAATTGAGAGTCATTCAGTTACTTAATAATTACTTTTTGACTTGAACCCAGTTCACATCAAGCTCTCACCACACGAGATGCAAGTTTGGATGTGGACAAGTCAAAACATACATTTCTATGAGCATGACGTGTGTGTCCTAAAGTTCAGTTTGAGCCTCCATTTTCCCAAGACCCACCCAATATTTTTAAAAATATTTTGGGTGATAGCCAGTGTTAGCCATACTCAGAGTAGACCCAAGGATTTATGTTATTGCAATCCATTGATTTCTGTGTGTCGAATCTGAGTATGAAATCCTCCAGATTCAGAGTCTTACGCAGGGATGGGGAACTTTTTCTGGCTGGTGGGCCAGATCTTTATCTGCCAACTGCTTGTGGGGCAACTTAAAAACCCCACAATGTTTTATTGATTTGAAATGAATGGTACAACAGTCAACATAGCAGATGGCAATGTATATATATATAGCCAACAGGTACAACCAGGAGAAATTCGCAACGTCAGTTAAAATGCACCTTTAACATAAAGTTTTTACAGTACTGCAAGAAATATCCCCTCCATAATGTAAAGTGTGTTGCCAGAATTTGATAGGAAGTATTGTTCCTGTTAATAAAGCTAGGTTCTGGTGGGTCAAAACTGAGATGTGGGCAGGGTCGTTGTCTGTCCGTCAGACAATCTGACATAGTGACATCAGGTGATGCTGTGCTTTGAAGCCCCACTTGTCAGGACTTCAAAGAGCAGCCCTTTGCAAGCAGCCCTGTTCTGCTCCTTAAACCTCCAAAAAATTGGAGGTTTAAAGAGTTTAAATTGTAGGTGGGTAATTCCATAGTAACTAACATAACATTGTAAACTTATTTATATAACATTATTTGGGTTAACATTAAACTCTTTGTGTGCTTACTGGAATGATTTTCCCTACTAAAATAATCAAGAAGCCAGGAAAATAATGGTAGATGCTGCTGCTAAAAGGTTTTCTGGCAAATGAGCTGCGGCCATCATAGAATCATGGAGTTGAAAGGGATCCAAGGGTCATCTAGTCCAACCCCCTGCAATGCAGGAATATCAGCTAAAGCATCCGTGACGGATAGCCATCCAACCTCTGTTTATAAACCTCCAAGGCAGAAGAGTCCACCACCTCTTGTGGGAGTCTGTTCCACTGCAGAACAGCTCTTACTGTCAGAAAGTTTTTTCTGAATGTTTTGTCAGAATCTCCTTTCTTGCAACTTGAAGCCATTGGTTTGAGTCCTACCCTCTAGAGCAGGAGAAAACAAGCATGCTCCATGTGACAGCCCTTAAAATATTTGAAGATGGCTATCATATTTTCTCTCAGTCTTCTCTTTTCCAGGCTAAACATACCCAGCTCCTTCAAGCGCTTCTCATAAGGCTTAGTTTCCAGACCCTTGATCATCTTGGTTGCCCTCCTCTGTACATGTTCTAGCTAGTCAACATCCATCTTAAATTGTGGTGCCCAGAATTGGACATAGTATTCCAAGTATGGTCTGACTAAGGCAGAATAAAGTGGTACTATTACTTCCCTTGATCTGGACAATATACTTTTGTTGATGCAGCCTAGAATAGCATTAGCATTTTTTGCTGCTGCATCACACTGTTGACTCATGTTAAGCTTATGGTCCACCAAGACCACTAGATCCTTTTCACATGTACAGTGGTACTTCGGGTTACATACGCTTCAGGTTACAGACTCTGCTAACCCAGAAATAATACCTCGGGTTAAGAACTTTGCTTCAGGATGAGAACAGAAATCGTGCTCCGGCGGCATGGCAGCAGCAAGAGGCCCCATTAGCTAAAGTGGTGCTTCAGGTTAAGAACAGCTTCAGGTTAAGAACGGACCTCCAGAACGGATTAAGTACTTAACCCGAGGTACCAGTGTACTGCTAGTAAGCCAGGTCTCCTCCATCTTATATTTGTGCATCTGGTTCTTTCTGCCTAAGTGCAGAACATTACATTTGTCCCTATTGAAATTCATTTTGTTAGCTTGCACCCAGTTCTCCAGTCTGTTCAGGTCATTTTGAATTCTGATTCTGTCTTCTGCGGCATTAGCTACCCCTTCCAGTTTGGTGTCATCTGCAGATTTGATGAGTATCCCCTCAGTTCCTTTATCCAAGTCATTTATAAAGACATTGAACAACAATGGGCCCAGGACAGAACCCTGTGGCACCCCACTTGTCACATTTTTCCAGGATGACAAAGAACCATTAATGAATACTCTTTGGGTTCGGTCAGTCAACCAGCTATGAATCCACCTAACATTTACCTTGTTCAACCCACATTTTACCGGCTTCCTTGCGAGAATATCATGGGGGACTTTGTCAAAAACCCTTACTGAAATCAAGATACACTATGTCCACAGCATTTCCCTGATCCACCAAGTTTGTAATTCCATCGAAAAGAAAGAAAAAGAAAGAAAGAAATCAGATTGGTCTGGCATGACTTATTTTTGAGAAACCCATACTGGGTCTTAGTAATCACAGCATCCTTTTCTAAATGCTCAGGTATCGATGTCAAGCTCACTGGTCAGTAGTTACCTGGGTATTCCTCCCCCCCCTTTTTGAAGATGGGGACAACATTTGCCTGCCTCCAGTCTGTAGGGACATCACCTGTTCTCCAATAATTCTCAAAAATAATAGACAAAGCTCCTTTAGTACCCTTGGATGCATCAGGCCCTGGAGATTTGAATTCATTTAAAGTAGCTAGGTGTTCCCTTACTACCTCTTTTCCTATCTTGGACTGCAGCTCCCTACTTACATCATTTATTCTGTTCTCACCAGGTTGGGCATCGCTTTCCTTTTGGGTGAAGACAGAGGCAAAGTAGGTGTTGAGTAGTTCTGCCTTTTCTCTCACCCAATAGCATTTCTCCGTCTTCCCCACACAGAGGACCCACCACTTGCTTGTTCTTCTTACTTTGGACATAGCAGAAGAAACCTTTATAATTATTTTTAACCTCTTTTGCAAGCCTGAACTCATTCTGAGCTTTAGCCAGCCTGACTTCTCCCCTGCAGCTGTTGGCTATTTATGTATACTCCTCCTTTGTGATTTCCCCTTTCTTTCATTTCTTATAAATGCCCTTCTTAACTCTCAGCTCATCTGTATGCTCCTTATGCAGCCACACCGGTTTCCTTAGATGTTTCCCACTTTTCTTTCTTCTTGGTATTGTCTACATTTGGGCCTTCAATATTTCTCCTTTTAGAAACTCCCATCCTTCTTGGACTCCCTTCTCATTAAGTATTTCTGAGCACAGGATCACACCCAGTAGCTCCTTCAGCTTTTTGAAATTGGCCTTCTAAAAGTCCAGAGTGCATGTCTGACTACACTCAGTTTCCCCTTGCCTCTGTATCCTGAAACCCAGGAGAACATGATCACTTCCTCCCAAGTTTCCGAGCACTTCCACTTCATCGATCAATTTCCCCCTGTTGGTGAGAACCAGGTCCAAGATCTCTTTGTTGGTGACAATTCACTGTCTCACGCACAAATGCCTTATAGCAAGACCCTGTGAAAATGACACTTTATTGTGCATTTGCTGAAGGTCAGCAGCAAGTCCATATGAGAAGTTGTAATGCCCATTGGAATTTAAACTTGGCTGTGGAAACCCCTCGTGATTCCCCCCCCCTTTCAACCAACTTTTATATTTATTTGCAGGGAAGACAAATGTTAACAAAGTCCTTTTTGTGTTTTAAAGAAGAGGATTCTATATTCATGAACATAATATTGCCAGCACCTGGTCAACAAATTTTCTTTTCAATTTCCCTCAAACTCAACAACAACAAAGTTGCCCAGTTGGCACCAGTGCTTCAGTGGCTGTTTCTGCTTCAGTGCTTTCCTTCAGAACAATTACATTTACCATAGGGGCATCATCCCCTTTGTCTCTTCAGTTTAAAATATTTGAAAAAACCCCACAAACATTTACACTTCTGTTCAAAACTGCCTTCAGCCTTTTACAGGGTTGTACTGTTAACCTGAGGCTCAGCAAGAGGCCTTTGGTTCCTGAGGAGAATACCTGTATGTATAGATGAGCCTGGTTATTCAGTTCAGTTTAGCTAGGGAGATGAATCAGAATACAACTGGCTCCTTGATAAATCTGAGAGGAAGCTGGTAGAAGCTTCTTCATGCTTCAAGAAAGCGGGTGAAGTGGGGAGTCTAGTAGAGAAATGCCAGTTCTGCCTTTTCTAAACCACACCCAGGTTGAAGTTACTTAGAAAGTTTAAACATACAATTATATTACCTATCTTCTAAAAGCATTAACATATGTCCACCTTCCCCTTGTCTGACTTGTCTTTCAGAGGGTAAGCTTCTTGAGGGTCGGGACCTGTCTCTTTTTGTAAAACTCTGTAAGGTGCCCTGCATTGATGGTATGGTACAAATAATAAGGCCTAATAATTATTAAACTCTTAGGAAAACAATTATGACAACCCTAAAAAGGGATTTAAGTGACAAAATCACAACACATATATTCTATATAAGTTGTGCACATTGTGGTGTTATGTTGCTTGTAGGAATTGCTGCACATAAAACATCTGATAGGTAACATCTCAGCACATTTTCTTGATGTTAACATCTTAAGGAAGAGCATAAAGTTATTTTCATTTGTTGAGGGAGGAGGGAGTATGTGTATCTTCTGACCACATACCCAACCAATATAAGTTTTATTGGTTTAAGTTCATCTGATTTTATTCAGTGCATGAAGTTTCTTCTCAGTTGAGAAGAGAATGAGAAAGCAAAACTGTCAGTACAATAAAAAGGTCATTAACCTATTGTCTATTTTCTTGGAGAGGTCTTTAACTGAATATTAGAAAAAAAAATGAGAGAAATTCTGAGTCATCTTGCATGTCATGTTTCTGGTTGTTTTACTCACATGTAAAATGCCATTTTGAAAAACTGTTGTCAGATGATGAAATTTTGGGAAACTATCTTTAAAATGATATAGAACATGTTAACTTCATATGAAAAGGAAAGATAGGTCTGTAAGTTGACATTGTCATGGAATTACCCAAGTTTAAAGAGCAGGGCAGGCTGTTTGCAAAGGACTTTCAAGCAGCCCCATGCTGCTATTTGAACCTCTGGCTTTCAGAGATTCAAAGAGCAGTGTTGGAAGAACAAAACAGATTCCGTTGAGCAAGGTGCTCTCCCACTGCACATTGGTTGATGGGCAAGTGGAAGTGTGCCTTGCACCAGCAAAGGAAAAACCGGAAACTCACTTTAAGTTCCTGTTTGTCGCTTTAAGCACTGCCCATACCAGCCTCACACCTGATGTCATATATGATTTCAGATGCAGGGCAGATAGGTATGACTTCTCCAGAATGGCTGCACAAACTAAATGGGGAGATTTGGCAGGTCATGCTAGTGTTTCCCCACACCTAGTCTTTGCTTAATCATGAACTTAGCTCTCTGCCACTGAATCAGTGAGATTTAAAAACCCAAATGGTTCTTAACCCTCACAAGTGCTTTCCTCTAAGGGACAATCAAAATCCTTTGCCTGCACCATGAAAACTTCTGTAACTCACTTTTCTTCCCAGCTACTTCCACCAGTTTAGTATATATATATTTTTATAAAATCCTCCAAACTCAGTTTTTTAAAATCTAACCAAATCTGAGAGAGCTACCATGAACTTGGCAATGGTGGTAAGTGATGTAGGCCTGAGTCTGCCTCTTTCTTTTAAGAACCCAGAACATGTACATACTACTCAGCCAAAGGATTTGGTAGAAAATAATATAGCTTATTTACCTCAGTTACTGCTTGTCTTAGATGTTGTTTATATAAGATGAGTAAATGGGGGGAAAGACAATCTTTCTTAGGCAGAAAATTGAACACTTTACCTGTCTGAGCAGGTTAGTAGGACTGACTGTGAGCTGGTATCCTAGGTTTCTGCATTCAGAGTTTATATGCAGAGGAGGGCACAAACAGTAAAGTCTTCAGGCTCACAGTGTAAGAGCTGCCATTTTAGACAATTAGAAAAATACAATAAATCCGAGTTAGCATATCTGTAAACACAATAAATCTAAAGATGTGTATATGTATGTGTATATATATCTAATTTTAGATAGCGTATATACTCCATACTTTTGAATGTAACCTTTTGCTTATATAAGCAATAGTATTTCAAATGTTCTGGTCAGGTATCGAAGGGCCTCGCTAAGCAGACTGAATTGAATGACTTCCTGCTTGACGTTTCAAAGTAAGTCACACTTACAACTCATTCTCAGTTAGTTGCATGAAATATGTGTGATGTAGAATTATGGAAGGTAGTTAGCAAATGCCCTTAGTATATTACCAGCTGGTATAGAAAGATAAGCACTGAAATCTTATGCACACTTACATGGAAGTAAGTCCCATTGAACTCAGTGGAACTTACTTC